GTGGTACCCCGACATAGAGAGGTTCCCGATACACCGCGCGGGAAATCCTTGTCACAAGTTTGGCCCCGGTCGCGTTGTTATGCAGGGGCGGTAAGGGCGGGGGGGGGATGGCAGTGTCTAATTGTCAAAATCAAGGTAAAGCTTGCACATCTCAGTTTTCCAAAGGCTAACGCGTTTGCTTATGGCTAGACCTACATAGTCATGACCCCAGGCATTCAAATCAACTGTGCCGACGAATAGGACATGGGAGGGACAAGATGCGCTCAAGTTCGCAGCGCTGATTCGCCGTTGCCGCGTGCATGAAGCGTATCAAAATCGGACCGTACAGCATCTAAAAAATCCTGCTTCTTGCTCACCGATCTCGATGATGGAAGAATCGTTTGGACAATCGCGGACTGCGAGTCTGCAGTTCTTCATCACAAGGAAGGGCTACAATCTCCGACACTAACGTTGTACACAAGCGACCACGGCGGACGGTCAAGTTGCGGGGGTAGTTTTGTACTGGAGTTAGACTTTGGAAAACTGAGATATGCAGGCGTTTCCTGGATTTTCAGAGGAGGTACTGCGATCCCCCCCCCGCCCTTAAGGCGACGCCAGTTTCCTCACCGCCCCCTGTATCCCCGGGGATCCGCGATGGCGTTTTTTTCCGAACCAAGTATATACATTTTTCTCACAGGTGTAACTGCTCGATAAAATATCCCGAGCGGTGCTCCCGCCGAGTGCTGTAAAACCTCAAATGTCGCCTCTGGCGCTTAGCCCCACGAGACGCAACCCTCTACTTCTTTTTGAAGAAATCATGCCAGCAAGAGCAACCCCGTTGATCAAAACTGTGCCGCTCAAGTATAGACCCTGTAGCGCGAGATGGAGGTTCTTGAAGTTTTGCGATTTGTGCATAATCTTCCAGCAGAGGTTCTTGAAGAACCAGGGCAGCAAACTGCGCTTCGGCTGCAGACAGCGAGAGCACGCCATAGGCAACCACACTGCTCGGAACTGCCAAAGCCTACAGATATGTGTGGTGTGCGAGTGGCGTCGCATGGCTTGATAGTGGCAGCAGACAACCAGAAACGATTCTTCAAGAGGTGCTCTCGTGAATTGTATGTAGTTGCATGCAGCAGCCCGAAATTCGGCGACAATGCCGGATCTTCTGGGTGGGTGCTTGCACACGCCGCCGTTCCCCACGTGTGTATGCCCAATCAACAAACGGATTGAACGCAAATGTAGCTGGTTCACCGAGTGTTCTCATATTGCAAAAACATGTGGAGGCTTTCGATTTGGCGAACTTTGACGTTTCGATGTACGTCCCGAAACATTATTTGTATCCCTTTTCGGTCTAGTCATTTGCCCCCCCTACAATGCTGCTTTTGAGCGAATCCCTCACTCTAAACCCAAGTTGTTCAACTTTGGTTCTTCTGCGAAACGCTTTTATTCTTTTTTGCAACGCTGTTTTTCGTGAGGAAGCTGGCGTTTTTACTCGAAGTTTGAATGCACCATTATAGTCTACAGTTAGCCACCTTACCGCATATTTTGCATGAGGCGTGGTGCTTCTTGGTTGCCTCAAATCAAGCTTTTGTCTCTTTTTACATAGTTTATTTCTTGTATGTATGCACATCACTTTCATTCTTCGCCGAAGGCCCCATGCAAAGGACCTACATATATACAGATAGCGCCCGCACTTAAGAACTTAGCAGTCAAGAAATCGAGACTCGCAAAAAATCAGAAGCTAAGAACTTGAGCACCATTTTTGAGCTCGGTTAAGAACCCCACACTAAAACGTAAATAGCGGCCGTTTGTAGCCCACAAGGGGATCATCAGCAAAATATGAACCCCAGCCTCGGCCGAAACTAGAGGTTCTTGAGTGCGGGCGCCATACGTATGTCTGAGGAATCGACAGCTGCGACGCAGGTGCCTCGTGGATAACTTTCTCAGTCAACGTTCTCGCAGATGGTCCGATTATCATGACATGCGCAAGGTGGCAAGCTCCGCCCAACACCGAGCTCGAGCGGATGACGCGATGCTGCGAAGTTCATGGGCATATATGTTCAAGTTAAACGCATGGTGTCGTCAGTTTTAGTAATGTCGCCGCACCAAGTTTATTTCTTGTATGTATGCATATCACTTTCATTCGAAGGCCCCATGCAAAGGACCTGCATCTAGTCTTTATGTCTGAGGAATTGACAGCTGCGACGCAGGTGCCTCGTGGATGACTTTCTCATTCAACGTTCTCGCAGATGGTCCGATTATCATGATATGCGCAAGGTGGCAAGCTCCGCCCAATACCGAGCTCGAGCGGATGACGCGATGTTGCGATTCATGGGCATATGTGTTCAAGTATAACGCATTGTTGTGTCGTCAGTTTTAGTAATGTCGCCGCACCACTTTCCCGAACGGCAACAGTTTTCGTCGAGAACCCGCCGCAATGTTCACCGACCGCCATGCCCCGCCGCCGCAGTGCCCCGCCGCCGCATCAGCCGCCGAGAGAGAGAGAGAGAGAGACAGAGACAGAGACAGAGACAGAGACAGAGAGAGAGAGAGAGAGAGAGAGAGAGAGAGAGAGAGAGAGAGAGAGAGAGAGAGAGAGAGAGAGAGAGAGAGAGAGAGAGAGAGAGAGAGAGAGAGAGAGAGAGAGAGAGAGAGAGAGAGAGAGAGAGAGAGAGAGAGAGAGAGAGAGAGAGAGAGAGAGAGAGAGAGAGAGAGAGAGAGAGAGAGAGAGAGAGAGAGAGAGAGAGAGAGAGAGAGAGAGAGAGAGAGAGAGAGAGAGAGAGAGAGAGAGAGAGAGAGAGAGAGAGAGAGAGAGAGAGAGAGAGAGAGAGAGAGAGAGAGAGAGAGAGAGAGAGAGAGAGAGAGAGAGAGAGAGAGAGAGAGAGAGAGAGAGAGAGAGAGAGAGAGAGAGAGAGAGAGAGAGAGAGAGAGAGAGAGAGAGAGAGAGAGAGAGAGAGAGAGAGAGAGAGAGAGAGAGAGAGAGAGAGAGAGAGAGAGAGAGAGAGAGAGAGAGAGAGAGAGAGAGAGAGAGAGAGAGAGAGAGAGAGAGAGAGAGAGAGAGAGAGAGAGAGAGAGAGAGAGAGAGAGAGAGAGAGAGAGAGAGAGAGAGAGAGAGAGAGAGAGAGAGAGAGAGAGAGAGAGAGAGAGAGAGAGAGAGAGAGAGAGAGAGAGAGAGAGAGAGAGAGAGAGAGAGAGAGAGAGAGAGAGAGAGAGAGAGAGAGAGAGAGAGAGAGAGAGAGAGAGAGAGAGAGAGAGAGAGAGAGAGAGAGAGACAGAGACAGAGACAGAGAGACAGAGACAGAGACAGAGACAGAGAGGACCGGGAGAAGTGACACCAGCATGAACGGGTGAGTGTCTCTGTCTCGGCGTAATCAGGTCGATGTACATCGGGGCGCTGTTCTGGTGGGGAGCAAGCATGGCTAGGAGGATAATATCACTTGACAAGTATCCCTCCACCGCGCAGAAAGTGCCACAGGCTGTTCGTACAAGGCGCCACGTTGGGTTACAACATGAAACCTTGCGTGTGATCGCTCGTGCTACGTTTCGGGAGACTTTGGGCAAGATAACACCCCCCTGTGTTGTATGTCGTAATGTCCGCAACCTCCTCGGCCCCGGTGAGTGCCAATTTGGGTTTACACTAGAAACTGCACTCGATGCTCCGCCATCCCAAACACTTTTGGGGGGCGTGTTCAGAAATCGTGCTAGCCTCTGTGAGTTTGGTACATTCAGAATTCAACCTCCACAGCTAAAATGTGACCCTGATGCGGCCCAAAGTGTATGCATTCAGGCGTTACAAATCATCCTCATTTCACCTCATAGCAACCAACCTTGTAACGTTGTATGAGCGCGACTGATCCATAGATCTACTTGTGCAGCAGCAAATGAGTGTATCCGTCGCTAGGACATTTTTAGAGGAATGTCCTGCAACTTGGAACACGGGTGTGTCACTTTACGTGTTGCCACAAATAACAGCGAATGAAATCGAAGCACTTGGTGACTGGTACGGTGATGAGAGATTTTGTTTTGTCCAGGCCCACAGGAAGGGGTGGCGTTTCTTCTTAACATGTCGAATAGCAAGAAAACACTGGTTAAAGACACCCCGAAAACTTCAGGCAGGAGTGTGAACGAACAATTGATCATCCCATGTCACGCTCTCTTGGGGTGTGTCTGTACGTACCTGCGTCTATGTATTCCCAAGGGACTGGAGCCCATTGCGCCCAAAAGCCACTAAATCACAAGCCAACACTTGTGCCCAACAAGTAGCCTAGCTATCACAACTGCTTCCGCAAACCGTGCTCGGTGCCTCGATATACCAGGGCATCTGTGCCACTTCGGTAGGGAAATTTCTTCTTCGTCTATGTGTTTGTTTGATGCGTACTGAGGTTTGTACTGTTAGGCTAGCGCCTGACCCTCTTTTTGGGCCGATTTTCTGTCACACGGACCTACATTTGAACAGACTTTAACTCCTTCCTGATTATTTTTCGACCAATGAAAACCCACCAATTTTGACAATCGAGTCAACTTAGGCGAACAGGTCACAACCATCTGTGTTCGAGCGTGTTATTTTTTAGTTGTTTTTTTGGGGGCGTGGGTGTGGTTTCGAGTAGAGAGCACACACCACAGCAGCCGCATTTAAAGAGTATGGTGCGGTGCTCCGCTCAACTGGACGAGGCCCACCCTCCCGCGGACCGTCACCACGGAAATGGCCGACGACGCCGGTGAGCGTCAGGCCAACCCACGGCTGCTGCACCTCCTCCTCCTTCTCCGTTGCGAGGGCGTTGAAAAAGAGTGCCTCTCACGCCGTTCCGAACGAGAGGCAACTACGAAAACGAGAACATGACTGGAGAAAGTTTTTGAAAGACAAGAGTGAGAAATCAAAGCATGGCAGCAAGTGGGTTGTTAAGAGCGTGATGGACGAGGTGCTGTCGTCGTCTGAAGAGTCTGAGTCTGACGCGTCAGAGAATCTGAGTTGTACGTCGGAGGAGGAGAGCGGCGATGACAAGGAGCCCTGAATTTTTTGTTTCGAAGGAATCTTGGAAGAAATCGATTTTTTTCAAGTTGACATCAGAAAGGACTTGTATCCAACCCCACCCTTCCCCAACTTTGGCGAAGTTCAAGTCACACTGCGTTGCGAGTGGGGTGTCCACAGCTACGTTTGGCGCTGGAACGATGGCAAAAGATGCTCTAGCGCGGTAGAGGCTGTGCGCGTAGGACAAAAGCTGATGTATGATGCGCGAAAGGCGCTCCATCCCAAAAATTCAACCGCGGTGCTTGCGCGTGTTTGTGTTGTTCAAGTTGACATCGAAAAGGAATCGCATCCGACCCCACCGTTCCCCAACTTTGGCGACGTTCAAGTGGCATGGAGTCGTGAGTGGGGTGTCCACAGCTACTTTTGGCGCTGGAACGGTAGCAAAAGCTGCTCTAGCGGCCGCGGTAGAGGCTGTGCGCGTGGCACAAAAGTTGATGTATGATGCGCGAAAAACTCCACACCGGAAAAATGCAACCGGCGGCGCGTTTGCATCTTTTCAAGTTGACATCAAAAGGAAATCGCATTCCATCCCCCCCCTCCCTAACCTTGCCGAGGTTCAAGGGGCACTGCGTCGCGAGTGGAGTATCCACAGCTACTTGATATTTCTTGTCCTGCTCCTTCTTCTCCAAACCCAGACGCTCCAACTTCTTCACCAACACCCGAACGCGCCGGCGCTCCTCCTCCAGCTGCTCCTTCGCCGCACGCTCCTCCTCCTCCGCCCTCAACCTGCTCGCGTGTTCGGCTTCCGTCGCTATGGTTGCCGCGTGACGCAGCCGCCGCTCCCCCTCGGCTTTGGTTCGTGCCGTCTCCACTGCTTTTCCGCACTCCGTTTCGCTGCCATCGCCTTGTTTTTACTTGCACGCACTACATCAGCAGCTTCCTGCGCTAGACCATCAGCTTTCTGCGCGTCGTCGCGGCTGCGGGTCAGCGCGACAACGTCCCCTCGTTGCACGACGCTGTCGTACCGGCGCTGAGCCGCCCTCTGTTGCAACGTCATGCCATTTTCCGCGATCAACTTCTGTTTTTGGCCGCGCAGTTGATTTTTTCGTTTTCGCGCTGAGTCGGACTTAGCCTTTGTCTTCTGGTTACCCATCTGTACCCGATCTTGCAACACGTGCTATGTGGCGTCGGAGTGGTGGATTGTGGTGCGGTTTTTGTGTTGCCTCGGCAGGAACGAGAGCTGTGGCTTTACCTGTGGCGATTTTCGCAATCGCCACACATGTACGAGGCCGCCGCTGAAAAACACCGAAAATCACTTGGTTTTAGAGTGTTGACGGCGTTTTTTTGTCCATACCAAAAACTGACAGGTAGTTCCCTCCATATGGTCTGTTCACAGGTCTCCGCCAAATACCAAGAGCCAGTTCGTTTTTGGGAGCGACTATTCTTCGGTGCCAGTCCATAGTCTAATATCAAGTCAAAACGCGTTCTGGCGTCACCAGCCGTTAGTGCGGATCAACATTTGTTTTGGAAAACACACACACACAATAAACGAATAATCAGCCCACGCGCATACACGATTTTGCGGGGTCACGCGAGAGCCTAACTGTGTTTGTGAGTATGTTGCAAGAACGCCCAGCAGAGCGCCAGGATAGCAACCTTTCCTTTTTGTGAGGCTAGAGGAGACAACAAGACTACGAGACCGAGGCACAACATGCACACAACTACACACCCTGGCGCTGCTACATACCACCGTTGGTGTACCTGTACACCTCTCTTTTGTGTACTGCCACTGCCGTATGCCTCTCTACAGTTGTGCGCGAGGGTGAGCGGGGTGTGCGTTCCCTGGTAGTCTCGCCCACTGCAGGCTGTTGAGTTACCTCGTGACCAACGAACAAAAGGCTTGAGACCGGGCCGAGTCTTGCTGTTGTTGACCACAACCCCCTCTGTGGATCACATAACCCCAGAGCTCAACCTCGTAGCCGACGGCAGGTATATACCGTTTTCAGGCAAGAGTCGAAAAGGTATGTTAATCTCCCTATAGTATATGTCATTTTTTCATCCACGGCATGCCATTTTTTATCCACGGACACCTTTGAATACTTGTCCCTGCTCACGTCTGTGCTACCGGCCTGATAAGCATGAATCTTGTTTGGTTTTCCATTCGTTCCCCGTCGAAAAGATTTTTGCCGAGCCATACAATATGCCCCGCCACGCCGCACTTTGCCATTACACATCGATTCGCCTTTTCCGAGAAGCATAAGCCGCAGCCGCAGCCGCAGCCGCGGCGGCATCGAGGCCCCACCCGCATCAGCAGCAGCAGCAGCATCAGCATCAGGAGCACGAGCAGTAGCGACAGCAACAACAGCGGTGGCAGTAGCATGGGGGGGAGAGATGGAGCGAGTGAACAGGTAGGAGAATCTCCACCAGGGTGATCGTTCTCGGTGATAAGCGTTTGCAGACAGCAGACAGTTTGCAGGCTGCTCAGGTATATCCGCAGGCTGGTGTGCAGAATACAAGCAGCGGTATACACTAGAGTGCCGTAGCAGCTCGGTTTGCCTCGGAGCAAAGTGACAACAACGATGTCGTTGGTGTGCTCACTGGCTCCGGGCCCATTTTGGTTTTGATGATGATGAAAGGGATTTAGCACAGCTCAAAACAAAACAACACCCTTGTACCTGACCCCTGGATCTCCGTAATAATATCTCAACGGGCCATGCTGGCAGTCCCGCGTGCGTATCCTACATATCCTTACATTTGGATATTTTTGCTACTACGGCTAGCTTGCTGACTTTGAGCTACGTAGATTGTACTATTGGGTGTCGCCGTAAGCTGTAAGCATAGTTGGGTCTACCCCATATTGCTTGGGTTTTGAAAGCGACCGTATCAGGGGCACTGCACGCCACACACTCACTCATAGATGTTCCCGACATGCGTGTGTTTTGTGAACGCTCCTGTCTCCGCTTGGGCGATGTCTTGAATCTCTGATTCAGGGCGCTGTTCTCACTAGGCACGCGCTCTTGAATATATCAAGCCTCTTTGTACAATACAGGCATTGCCACAACACGCCGAAAGAATGTCTGTGCTCGCGGGCTCGCTGCGCTCACCGATGTATCGGCTTGATACATCGTAACATCGGCTTCGCCGAAAACCGATGTTGAAAACATCGTGTAACCCAACCGATTCCCAACCCTACTTGTTACCCCATGACGACTCTAAGTCAGGCAGCAAGTGTGTCTTCGGAAAGCTCTCGAGGAGGCAACCCCTACGCCATCATTTTCAGCACCGCCATTTTGCCGTAAAACATGTCGATATGAAAAGTGTCTTTCCGGCCGTCCAGTCTCACCGCCTCTCGGGTGGAATTTGACACCGAAGGACACGCACACACCCATGTGGTGTGCGTGCCCGACATCCCCACCACGTGGCAGCAGCAAGAGCCGGCCGAGCATCACTGGTCACTGAAGCAGGAGACATTGACCACAGCCCAGAAGGTTTAACTAAACGGTGTATCGTACGTTCGACGCTGCTGGAGTTGAAGTGGCTGTGCCTGCCCGTCCTGCTGGCACTGCTGCCGGGTTCTCCTGTAGTATGCATATGTGTAGCGCTGCCTCTCCTTTTTCCAGTTCAGATGCACCCGCCCGCACACCAGTCGCACACGCACCTGTGGGTCAGCTGCGTTCCAACTTTTCGGGCTGTGACATCTCGATCACCCAAACAACCAAAGCGAAACGACAGCAGTAGGCAGGCGGATTCTCCTCGTCTAGAGTCTAGGGCAAGACAGAGGGAGAAGACGAAGAGACCGGTCGCTCCGAGCTACAGCAGTACAGCAGCCAGCATTTTTCCCTCAACCGTTTGGCCTCACCCCTCAGACAACTAAATAGTGTACACACATAGTCTATCCATATTCCGTTAACCTGTAGTCTACATGCGCTCAAGGCTTTGGTGGACATACCCTGAGTATGTCGTGCATGGCATGACTCTCTTGTGCATGAAAGCTCAACGTGAGAGGGCAGACACTGCTGCTGTGGATGCATCTCTCTTCTCTTCGGCTGTTCACGCAGCAGCAGCTACTTGCGCTACTGCTGTAGTCAATAGTCCTGACTCCGAAATTCAATCATTGCCTGTTGTCGATCCCCTATTGGCTGTCGCTCGACAGTCCTCATCAGAGATGGCCCTACTTTCGGAGACGCGCTCTGGTTTCGCGGAAACGCCGAAACGCGTGTTCGCTCGCGCTCACATGTCGCCCTTCGACAGCCAGTAAGACAGCGCACACAACGAAGCACGGAGGAGAAGACACAAACATTCCGTGGTGGTGAAGATGGTTTCCAAGTGCGCCAGTGGCACTTCCTGTAGAATACGCGTACATGCTGGAACAACACATGGGCGCACAAAACAAGGGCAGGATCAACGCTCGGACAACGAAGCTGCGCGGCGGCGGAATAACCGAGAGATTGGCATCAGGGGGTCCTGTGTACGTATCCGCCCACACACATTTGAGAGAGATCTTGCTGATGTCTTTGCCCTAGATATTCATGTCAAATGATGATGTCATGGAACGGGAATTTCGACTAAAGTACCGATGCACGCGTCTTGGAAATCCTCCTTGGTAGACTACTGTAGACTTCGTATGCATAGACTGTGCAAAGAGCGAACCAATTGAAGTCGGGTGCATGATGCACTACTGTACATACTTTCTGAGTTAAATAGTCTACACCTACATGGAGGGCCCGATGCGCAGGGTATCCGTCGACTGGTTTCTACCAGAATGGTTACATCTTGGTTATAGGACTGGTGCGAGTCTCCTTGCACATTTTCTCCGGGCCCCAGGACAGCTGTAGAGTCTATGCATATTGTCACTGGAAGGACGTCGGGTCGCGAAACCCTCCGCATGTGCCGTTTCATCGTCCCTTGTACTCAACGGCCTCGATCTACGCCAAAGGAATTTGGAGAGTTATTCGAAGAACTGGGGATTGGGCAATTACAAGCAACAACAGGTTCTAAGGATCAGCACGTACGTTCGTGTCTGGGCATCCCCCCAACCGCTGACCACGTGGAAGCTGGGAAACCTTGTACACCAATGTCGCTTGTTGTGCGGAAATTTGGCGTTCAACAACTCGTGGACCTCTGTCATGTTCTTGTTGTGAACGATTTCACCGGAATTCGTCCGTGAGTTGCTCGAATCTCATGTGGAAATTACTTGAAAAGAACATGGCCACGTGCTGGAAGGTATGAAATTTCAATGATTCAATGCAAGGCTTAGACACCTGCGCTGAACGCAAAAGGTGACGTGCGTAATAGCAATGACAACAAATTTTCCAGTAAGCGCAGAGGGGGGGGGGGGGGGGGNNNNGGGGGGGGGGGGGGGGGGGGGGGGGGGGGGGGGGGGGGGGGGGGGGGGGGGGGGGGTCATCGATTTTCGTGCGTTCGTGTACTGCGCTGTGACATGCCATGTGCTTGGAACACAGAATGGTTTGTCTTGGAGGCAACGAATTTTCGCGAGTAGTTCACCAAAGAAACCGTGACCCGGCAGTGACTCCACCATTGTCACGCTCTTATCATCCACGGCTACACTACTCGAGCGCCTTGAACTCACACCACGCATGCGTTTGGAGTAACGATACATCGTCAATAGTCTTCATCGCTGAAAAAAGGATCTTTGCTCAGCAATGCCTCCTCGATCTCCAAAGGGCGGTGCGTCATCGCCGTAGATGACCGCATGTAATGCGCAGTACTTCCTGGCCCGCTCCAGCTCATCAGGGGTTGGGTCGTGCATCTCAAGGGACGACGACTGCGCCGTTGTAAAGTTTTGCCGGATTGGCTCGGGCCCGGCCGTACTCATTTCTGCGTCTGGTGGTGGACATCCTTCGGCTACGCCATCCGTTTCCTGTCCCGTCTCCTTCTCAACATTGCCGGGATCCCGGGGGAACCCATTCTCAAGACAGAACTGGAGAACGCGCCAGTGGCCCCGAGCGGCGGCGACAGCGGCAGCCTCTTCGCTCCATCCGCACCCTTGTTCTCGGCACGACATTAGGATCTCGAGATGTCCTCCGAAGGCTGCGGACTTATATGTGTCTTCGTGACCCCGAGCGGCGGCGACAGCGGCAGTCTCTTCGCTCCACCCGCACCCTTGTTCTCGGCACGACACTAGGATCTCGAAATGTCCTCCGAAGACTGCGGACGTACATGTGTCTCCGTCCCAATCGCAACCATTTCCTCTGGCCCACTTGCGCACGCTGAAGCTCCCGCACCGCGCGGTTGAGGCGGTTGTTCCGGCGTCCCATGGGCACCCGTGCTCCCGACAGTATTGGAGGATTTTCAGGTGTCTCCCGCTGGCGGCAGCCGAGCAGGTGCTCTCGTCCCACTCGGAGCCGTACGTCCTCGCCCACCAAATGATCCCAAGGTGCGCGCGCAAGGCGGCCTCGGCACATACCATCTTCCCTATCGGGCAACCGTTCAGCATGGTGCACTGAAGGCGATCTAGCCTGCCGAGCTTGGCGGCAGTCGCGCAGATTCCTTTGGTTCCGGGGAGGCTACAGTGTAAGCTATAGGATAGCTGGGACACCAGCGTTCTGGTGGTTACGGCTCGAGTGACGGCAGGCCGCCCGCCGCACGCGCGCGACCACCCCATGCACACGGTCGCCAAGAACACGTATTGATTGTGATCTGCGTACTCCATCAGGTGGTTGACGACGGTGTTGTTGCTGGTGAGAGGGTTGAGCATGGTCGTCTCCATGGCCTCCTGCAGATAGTAGTAGTCCCTAAAGAATATACGGCCTGGGCAAGGTACTGCGTGGTGATGAGTTCGGACAGCAGAGGCCTACACGATAAGCAGCATTGAGAGGTGCCGTCGAATTACCACAGGGTTTTTTTGGTTGAATAACGACCATCGTTCCACTACCGACACAATTGTAAGGAGGGGTAGACTCATATTTCCTGGTTCTTTCTGGGATCTGGATATCTGCTGTGTGCAATTCAGAATGTTGCCTGTCTCGATGTATCTCATTCCGTTCCTTTCCGTCCCCTCTCTGCGTCCCCATTAAACCCTCTCTTGAGATCCGGCCATACTTAGCCTACTGTCCCGGGGTTCAGTGCGTTAGTCTATCACTAGAATAGCTGCCTCAGAAGGCGCCCACCCTTACATTACGAACACTGCTGCAGTCACTGCTGGTAGGCCTTCCAACTTTTCGAATATTGAACTTGAACCCGGCTCCATTTTTCACCTTATGCTGCAGTGTAGTTGCTGATAAACCAGCAAAGGAGACATAGTTGCAGGATTGCGCGACGTTTTGATTCAAACAGGCGGGCCCTCGGAAAATGAATATATGTACGTATAACATTTGGTCACTTTTCATACTTCGGCTTTTATTTCTCTCGCGGCAGCGAGTCTTCTCTCGCGGTTCCTTCTCAGGGGCATGCAGGAGGCTCGTCGGTACATTAACGCCCGTGCCCGGAGCTTGGTAGGCCTCCGTGGCGCGTGTGGTTGACGCCCAAAGTGGCGAAAACTGGCTCGAAACCCCGGGGACGCGTTCCGCGCTGACAAAGCCTGGCGAACGAAAATTGAAACCTATCAAACCCATCAAGTACGACGGTTTGAAATATTTGCCTCTTGCTTCTCCACATATATTCGTTCATTCATTCATTCATTCATTCGATGATTCATGATTGTGACTCTTCGTGTCATCGCATTTGCCCAACAGCAGTACCTACGTTTGCAATTCGCAGCGGGCCAAGTGTAGACAAGTCTGAGAGCATACATCCAGCCGTAGTGTTGAACATGTCCCATTTGTGGTATTGTCTTGGCTTCAAATTCGGTTCTCATCGGAAATCTGCCATCATCACTCAAAGTCTTCATGGAAGCCTGAGTGTTCGCTGCCAAAATACTGTCCGCTCGAGCTGGCTCCAATGTAGAATAACAACGTGCGCGATATTTTTTGCGGAAATACAAGCGCTGTAAGACGCACAGTCCCTCTTCGGGCAATACGCTTGTGGTCTTGCGTCACCTGAGGGAGGGTAGACATCTACGTCCCGAAGGAAGACCTTCTATATATATATTTCACGGTAGTATGTAGACGGCTCATCGCGACATGCGCCCGCAGGTCCTCCAACTACTGTTGATGGTGACACGGGCAGCAAAAGTGAAACCCACCGCTCGGTGTTTGGATTTTTCGGCAGTCAATTCGAAAACGAAGATGGAGGACGATACCCTAAAACAGTGGGAAACATGATGCAGGGTTAGGTGCTCGACAAATCTGCTGTATTTGCGCGGACGCCACGAATGAATGCAAACGTTTCGAATGGTTCAAAAATAAGTCGCTCTGTACATGTCGGGGGGGGCATCATTGTTCGGTATTGTGCTGAATATGAAGGCGTATCAACTAAGGGTTAAATGGTACCATCCTAAGGAGCCGAATAAGGTACGGGTCACTTGATTTTTGGCTCCACTTTTGTGTAGAAGAAGTGCACTTATGGTAGGTGCGAGAATGCTCTGAACACCTTGCGCGCTTCAATATCTCAGGCAGCACGCACGCACATGGTGCTCATGGTGGATGATCCCTTAGACTCGAGTTGTACCTGCCGGCTATCGCATCTCATTCGCTACACCTATTCTGAGCCCATCGAAGATCATATGTTCTGATTTCATACCCAAGTCCCGGAGATCATATTTTGAAGTGCACGAATAATCGAAGTGGTAGTCAATGTTCACAGCACAGTCCAAGCGAAAGAAATTGGGCAAAAAAAAAACGTAGCGGGACAGATCTACCTCGCATTCAGCCAATCAAATGCCTG